AGACTTTTATCAAATCTCTCATCAGTCTTCTTTTCTCCAGATTAAACAATCTCAGTTCTTCTACCCTTGTCTCAAAAGCCATGCTTCCAAAACCTCTAGTCAGTTTTGTTGCTCTTCACTGGACTCTGATTTGCTAATGTCAATCTTGAAATGTGGTGCCCAAAACTGGACACAGTATACCAGCACTCCAAGCTTTAGAAAGCCTGGTACATGCAAGCTAAGGTCACATAATAATTATGAACCAAGTTCAGCTACCCCGCTCTAAGAATGGCCACCTGGGATTTGCTAGAAGAAGGTATTCATGACTAGATCACCTCTATGTACATCTCCAGCACCTGCTTCAAGACGCCCTCAAAATGCTTCACAGGCTCAGGACATGCAATACCCAAACACGCGACACTACAGTATTAACTATGGTATAGTGGATGCAGCTTGGGACAGGCTGCATCAAGGCTTACAATGACATTAGTGACATCCTTGCAAGGTGGTTCATTTTCTTAATCCTTAGTTTAAGTTTCTTAATCCTTAGTCTGCCTCTTCCTTTATGTGGTTCACATAAAGGAAGAGGCAGATTTTCAAAAGTATTTGGGAGCCTCGAGATGCAGAGGCACCTGTTGGTTGGTCTAGGTTCTTTTGAAGATCTCATCAAGCATCTAAAAAAATCTCTGGTCCAGAATGATTTGCCTCATGTCACAGAGGGAATCAGTGCCAATTCTACCACTAGAAGAAAGCGGAGCTAAAGAAGTGAGATGGTAACCTTCAGACAACAGATAGCCCAGGGGTGAAGAGAGAACTGCCCCTCATCTTCCTTAAAATTGCTGTTTGCCTTATTTTCATAGTGTGCCCATTACCATGGTCCCATGCCCATCACCATGGTATAAAGAAATACAAACTTCTCACGTTGCTGAAGAGCAAGAGGAACAGTGGGAGGTTTGGTTGGACTTTCCCCAAGCCTCAAGTGCTGAATCCTGCTAGAGACAAGAGCCACAACTGATCAGACTGGTAGTCTCGAGGGGTCCAGCAAATTCTGTTTCTAATCTGAATTCCTTCTTTCAAGCGCTGTGCTAACTGGGTATTCATCAGTTGTTAGATGCTTCAGAAGCCACAGAGTGGTCAATGTGCTTCCAGCCTGAGTATCAAGGGCCAATCAACTCTTTTGTTGTTTTGAATTACATGCTTGGCAAAGCCTGAAAATAATTGGAGACTATCTAGAAGAAAAAAAAAATAGAAATCTGAAATCAAACAGCATTAGCTTCCAGCACTCAGACTCAGCCCTGACAAACAACACAGCAGCACTGATGCTTCCATTGCAAAAAAAGTACATTAGCTCAGGATCAAGAACTATCTTTGTCCCCTCCAGAGGCTGGGATTAGTGTAAAGAACTTATATCAACGTCTCATATCACTGAAGAGCAAGAGGAACTGTAATGGCCAAAAGACAGCCCAGACTCCCAGCCAACTGGCCACTGTACAGAGTTTACCTGCCAAAACCCACCCACAAGGAATCTTTGCTTCCATGTAATATTCCAATAAGGATCCTGATCTGCTGACTGCAGAGCCTCATATCTGGGCAGTAAGATGCTGTGTTCTTCCTTTTGCCCAGTAAATGCCAGGATTTTGGCAGGGTATGGCACTCCATTTTTATATGCAGTCATTTGTACAGATATCACAGCCATTGTCCTACATGATGCTACAACATATATCATCCCAGCAGCAACTGTCTCTATGTCAAGACAGGGGTGAGCTGGGAGACAACCTGGGGAAAAACACTGTGCATGTGTGTGTGCATTATGTCCTGTTTAAGCCTGGACTGTACCAGGTCCAACCAGTAATAACACCTACAAGGCTTTTTCCTTCCACCTTCCTATGTCTCAGCCCAGAATTTGCCAGGATAACCATCCTGGCCATTGAGTTTAGGACACAAGCAGCTACAGGATCCTGAGTAGGATGGAAAGCGTGTATACCCAAATGTGTTGACAGAGTTAAATTAAAGGTAACCAAGATATTACAAAGCTGCAAAGTAATTATAAAGGAGGCAGAAAAGGGCCAGCAATTTTAAGCAGACAAGAAGTCCCTCTTAAGAGAAGAAAGGCAAGTTAATTAACCTCTAGACATGATTCAAAGCATCATTTGTAGGATGATTAACATAATCCCCCAAGTGCAAACATGCAACGGGCATTAACGATCATTTGCAGAGCTGAATGCTTCCCCGCCCCTTCGCAAAATCAGCACATTTGAGGATGGAAACATTTGAAATGCAATAACGGGTTTGCCGGCGCACATCTTGGGAAGTGGGAGGACAGACACCCTTGGCAGCCGGCTGGCTTCCCACAGCCCACGTACACACATCTTTCCCAGACAGGCTATTACCATCACCCTGCAAGTGCTAAATGCTACCGACTTCCAGTAGAGCCCACGGCTTGCAATACATGGCACTTCACCTCTGAGCATTACCAAAGCTGCCCACTGGCCAGGCTTGCCAATCTTAGTGAGTTTACCGAGAACCTTGTGATATTTTAGTGTTTCCCTTTAATCTCCAGATCCTGGAGACAGGTGAACGAGGGAATCTCTGCTTTCATTTACCTCTCAAGGTTGAAGATAAAAGGCCTGAAAATGTGACCCGAGTAAATCCAAAAGGCTCAGAAAACAGAAGACAGACACAAAACACCCTAAATTTCTCCCTGATCCTCCCCACAAAAGATATCATGATTTGTTGAGGCCCGACTCATGCCTGGAGTTGACAACACTGGACTTCCCCAGCTTCTCTGGGTTTCTGCAGTCCAAGGCATTCATAAGACTGATCATACAAGAAAGCCAAAGCAGCTCTGCTTCCCCATGGAAGATCCCAGGCACTACATAGCTGTGTATACAACCATCACCAACAGCGCCTTGGTAGCTGGAAGCAGTTAGGGGGGCGTTTTCTTCCCATTACACTGAAACAAACAGCTTTGTTTGTATTTTGTTCATGAATTTTTTTCTGAAGGGTTAATAAAGGTGACGGAGGCATGTGACTCAGATCTTCTGTATCCTCCCTCCACCCCGTACAATGGTATTGTTTGCTCTGACTACAGTTCCATTCAAGAAAGCTCAGAGGCTTTGTGTTAAGTTCTTTTCTGTATTTAAAAGCTTTCTTAAAAGGATATTGCATCCCTGAGACACTCTGTAGTTGTTTAAATGAGTCACTATTGTGCTATGTTCTTATCTTCAAAGTTTTGTTATTACTTGGGAATGTTTATCTGCATTACATTTGCAAACATCTGAATAAAAGTCAAGTTTTCAAAACAACGTTATTTTTGTTACAAAACCCCTTCCCTGCATAAACAGGAAGGTTTCTATGTGGTCAGCTCTGCTCCGTGCTCTGTATTGTTTATAAATGGCCATCTTAGAGACAGTCAACAGCATTTAAGCACATGATTGCTCATGGAGCTTGCTTCCTTGGAGAAAGAGCAGTTTGATTTCGTGACAGACTGAGAAATTCAACAACTAAATGCCTCATTGTGTCAGGCGTAAGGCATGACCTTCCCATGATTCACGCCTTGTGTTGGGATCCCTGCAACATAGCAGTGCTGGGCAATTCAAAGCTCATCTGTTTGGAAACCTGTAGCAAAATTATAGTCACAACCCCCAGTGTAACAGCCAAGGGAATAAAGGAAAAGGAAACAAGATTAAGAATAAAGGTAAGAGTGTAAACCGCTGGCTTGGTGCTGAAACCCAGCTTTATTTTTGGTGTGTTCAAAGAGTGCATCGGGTGTGGAAAGCTCCTTGTCAGACAAAGACGTGTGAACAATCCCAGACAGAACTCGTGGATGGGCTGTCCTGAATTCTAAGTAGAATTTGCCAGGGACGAAGAACCAGTTCAGATCTTCCCTCTGAAACTTTGTGTTTTCTGGCAGCAGCAATGGGTAACCCCAATTAAAGCTGAGTCAGAGAAAAAGACATTCACATCCAAGTCAAGGCTTGGTTTTCAGAGGTGCTGCATACCAAGAGCTTCCGTAACGTGCTTTCAAGAGACTATCATGTTGTGCACCCTTAGGTAGAAGACCTGGTGCAAAAGAGGAGGTTGGGTGCTGCTATTTCACCAAGCAGCTGCCTTGGGAAGGACAAATGTTCTATTTCTTTCCCCATTTTCCTTCCACACATTGTAACAGGTGCACCCAAAATCTGCCTGCCTAGAGTCAGCCCCCACCTATGTTACGCACTAGCTTGAATTATCCCAGCAGCATTCGCAGCAGTCCACGGGACTCAGGAGTTTAATGCTGAGCGGACCCGTCCCCACATTCCAATTCACGCGGCTCTGAGCAGGTGCTCAAGCAGCACAATTATGATCTTTGCCCAAGATTTCTAACAAAGCCAGATTAAAATGGACTGGCAATCTGTCAGCAGTGTGCCTCGCCCAGTGCTGCTCCCAGTCGCATCATCTCGGAGGTGGCAGCTGCCTTCAGACCCCAAGCAGCCCAGCCTGCCTGTGCAAGGGGTCCTGTAAGTCCTATAGTCTTTCCCCTTGCAGTTGAACTCAGTCCCCCCTGCTCCTCCTGAAACAGCTGCTGGTACTGGGACCTCCCAGAGCCTGCCCTGGAGCAAAGAGTTTTGTGCACATCAGGTTAACTGAAGCACTCAGAACCTTCTGTGAATCCAGATGCTTTAACTAACATTAGCAGCATGTGCTAATGCTGCTCCTGGCCAGACGCCGGAGCTGATGGGACTTGGGCCTGATCCTGATGGGGATCACCCCTGGTGACTTGGAGGCAGCAGTGCCAGCCCCAGGTAGATTTGAAGCAGCGCCTGGAGGCTCTGGAATCAGATGCAGGTCCCCAGCCCAGCCGGTGGGACGTGCTCCTGACCCCCCAGAGATGTACTGCCCGGCTGGGCAGGGCTGCAGCTGTCAGGCAGCCAGCCTGGGCAGGGAAGCACGTCTCTCAGCAGTAGCCAAGCCAAAGGTGGGAAGCAGAGCAGCCCAGGGGGGCTTGGTCCCTCCGACCCCCACACATCCCTCACACTCACCTGCCAGGAGCTGGAGGGGATCTCGTTGAACTTGCCCAGGCCCCCGAAGGTGTAGCAGCTGTACATCTGCTCCAGCGTCTCAGAGCAGTGCCAGAGCAAGCCGAAGCTCACCTCGTCCTGGGCTTGGGGCAGGGGAGGCTCCTTCACGATCCAGGCAGGGGAGAGGAAGCTGAAGCTGCAGACGGCCACCAGGCAGGAGGACAGGAGGACCCAGAAACAGCCCACGCAGCTGAACATCCTCTGAGGCTGGGGAAGGGAGCCCG